CACAGGAGTGAGCTGCGCACAGTCAGCAATGGGTTTTCGCCTCGCAACCCCCCCCGGGGAAGAAGGGAGATGTTATGGGCAGGGCCCTACCGAAGTCACCACCATGAAATCTGGTCTTGTGTGTGCTTTTACCCTCTACTATACAGAGTTCACAGGGGAGACCAGCGTTTCTCAAATTGGGGGTCCTGATCCAAAAGGGAGTTGCGAGGGAGGGGTCACAAGGTTATTTTAGGGGGGCTGCAGTATTGCCACCCTTACTTCTGTGCTGACTTCAAAGCTGGGCAGCTGGAGAGCGGCAGCGGCTGGCTGGGAGCCCAGCTCTGAAGGCAGCGCCGCCATCAGCAGCAGCGCAGAAGTAAGGGTAGCAGTACTGCGACCCTCCCCTACAATCACCTTGCGACCCCCCCCCCCCAACTCATTTTTGGGTCAGGTCCTATAATTACAACACCATGACATTTCAGATTTAAAAAGCTGAAATCACAAAATTTATGACTTAAAATCCTATGGCGTGAAATTGACCACAATGGCCTGTGAATTTGGTAGGGCCCTGTGGGACCCAAAGTGACATGGAGGGCATGTCTCCACTGCCGCTGAAGACTAAGGGGCTGTTTCATTGCAGGGCACACGTCCAGGGGATTGGGCTGGAGCCCAGGCAGTGCGAGGGTCCCGAGCCCGGAAGTCTACACGGCAATGAAACAGCCCGAGCCTGAGCCCCGCACGCTGGTGAACTGGCTCTCAGCAATGGGACAAGCCTTCATGGCAAGAGCAGGCGGGACCTTTCCCTTGGCCAGCTCCTACCTCCCCACTTGCGATGCTGCTGCGCATTCACTATTTCCCCCCCACTTCGGCCCTGATCCATTCCCAGCAGAGCCCCCAGCGCGTTCAAGCCTGGGATTCCTAGGAAAAGGGGCCTAAAACCATGGCCCTGTCTGCCCCAATCGTCTTCGTGTCCTGGCCGAACCCCGGCTTGACTAATGATGCTCTGCAGCCCTAGACACCTCCCTGCTGTGCCGTCAGAGGAGCCCCAGTGTGGGCTGCAATTTACTCGTAGCCGAATCCTCCTTACAGGGAGAGTCCGTGGAGCATTTCTGAGCCTCCAAAATGGATACAGTTAAACCCAAGCCTGCAACTTCCCCTCCCCAGCCCGTACAATTCACAGCCACACGATAAGGGCTGCTGGGCATGGAATCAGAGCCGACTGCTTCAAGGAAAAAAACCCCTCACGCTGGGTTCCTGGCAGATCCCGGTCCCTTGGCTTGGCTTTGGGATCAGGCCTGGAAAAGGCCCGTTTCCAAGGTGCAAAGAGCAACGAGGCTGCTAAGCTAGGAGGGAGAGCGTGAGAAAGTCTTCGCCGCCCCCGCAGCAGGCGCTCCCCTCGCCCCGTACAGCGTCCTGCCTACGGGCCTGATCCAAAGCTCACCAGCATCAGCTGGAGACTTTCCACTGACTTCCAAGGGCTTTGGGGCCTAACCCCTGGTCGCTCTTGACTGGGGATGTTTAGTCCCCACTGCTGAGGCTGCTAACCAAGCTAGGGGGTGCGACATAGATTCCCCACGGCCTAAAGAGCCCCTCAGCTCACTGCAACCCAGAGCATCGAAGCCGCATCCCACAGCGGCCACGACTGCCCCCGGCCAGGGTTCAAGCGGCTGGCTGAGAAGCGATACCCTCTGCATCCCGCTACCACGGCCCCAGGGCAGAGGAGGGAGGGATCCGTGCCAGCGCCCAAGCAGGGCTGAGGGCGGCCAAGGGCTTGCGTCACTCAGCTGGGGAGGGCGGTCAGCCAGATGCAGAAATACCCTTGGGAGAGGAGATGTGCTCAGTCCCCCCCCCTTCGGGGGGGGGGGGGGGGAGATTTGGGAGCTGGTCCCCCACCACTCTCTTTAACCTTTCTCCATAGAACGGAAAGGGAGAGGCCCACGACTACCCTCCAGCCGGCTTCTCCTACCACCTCCATGCTGGCAGCTGTGCTTTCCCTTAATTTCCTCATGCATCCCCCTCCACCCCCAAGATTCACGCTGATTGCATCCAGCGCAGTCATCCGCGGCTCCCATTTCAGTGCAGCCTGCTGAGATGCCGAGCTCCGGCTCCTGGCTGGCATCTGCAGCCCCCCCACTGCACTCAAACACTCCAGCAAAAGAACAAATGGAACAACAGCCCTCCATCACTCAGATCTCCATGCACCCGGCTGCCGCGACTGGAACGCACGCATGGCTGCTTGCACAGCTGAGGAGCAGACCGTGATTCTCAGGCACTCAGCTTCTCGTCTGTAAGCACCAAGCTGGCAACCTGCTCTCCCCGGGCAAGGGCAAGGAGCAGCCGCATCCTACAGCTCGGTTTCTAACCAGCCTCTCCTAACCAGTTTCTGACACGCCTGCAGACTCAGTGCGCCCACTGCTGGTCATGATGGGAGGGATTAACACGCTGATTATGAGAGAGGAACTGTCCTCTGGATCAGACCAGGAATCCATCGAGCCAATAATGGCTAATATTAGCTGATTCAGAGGCAGATTCCAGAAACCTTGCAGTAGCCAGTTATGGAATAATCTGCCCCCGGGAAACATTTCCTCCTGACCCCCACTGTTAGAGGTAGGTTTAAGCCCTGAAGCATGAGTATGTAGATCCCCTTCCAGAACGCTCACTATTGTCTCTGTGCATAGTCTTGTTCTCTCAAGGTCTGATCCCTTTTTCGAATCCCAAGAAGCAGGACTCATCTCTCATTAACCCACCTAGAAGCCTAGGCAGAATCTAAGGCCAATTGGAAGCGGAGCCGCTGGTGTTATTAGCCGCAGGTGCAAATCTCTTAATTAGCGCAAAACTGCACACTTGTAAAGACAGACTTGAAGGGCGTTAAATGGCAGATGGCTTGTGTCTTTTGGAGGAAAAGGAAAAAAACAAAGCAACTCCAGGTCGATTAAAAGCAAGGGAAATTAACCAGCAGCCAAGCCACGGGCTGTGCAATCATTGTCTGTCAGCGAGCTGCCTGCACCGGAACAGAGGTGACAAGGGCAGGGTGCGCCTGGAAAAGGGACATGCGAAGAGTGCGGCCATGTCAAACATCACTGACCAACTCTCAGCTCATCAGAGGCCTGGCAGAGGGACGGGTTGAAAGTGAAGGGCGGTCATGCTGCAGTCAGACTGCGCTGAGCTCAACCTCCACGGGATGGGGGCGGTAAGGGGACTGATGGGAGACCTCCAGGGAAAAGCCAGGTGCCGTGGGAGGTGGCGCTTTCCCCTCTGGTTTGTGCTGAATGGATGCCCCAAACCATCGGCAGATACAGGCCTCAATCTCAGCGAGTCTAAAGCCACTCGGGCTGCAGGTGTAATGACACTTTAAGGCCCCCTGAGGTTGCTGGTGGGGGGGAAGGGGGAAGAGGCCTTGGTGTAACTGAGAATCAGGCCCAAAGCCCACATTCACGTCTAGCCACGAGGGCGCCCAGGTACCTTGCACCGTAGCAGAGAGCCGCCTCGGCTGGCTTCCTTACCCCCGCTGAGTAAGTCACTGCTCTAATTGCAAGAGGCTTCAGGTCCTGGCCTTGTGCAGTGTTCCCAGCACAGCGCAGCCTCTGTACCCGCACTGCTTGGTAAAGGCAGCCCCTACGCGTACACATCCCTGCAGTAGATCGGGGGGCGGGGGGGCAACCTGTGTCTCTGGAGCCGCATGCGGCTCTTCAGAAGTTAATATGCGGCTCCTTGTACAGGCACCGACTCCGGTGCTGGAGCTACAGGCGCCAACTTTCCAATGTGCCGGGGGGTGCTCACTGCTCAACCCCTGGCTCTGCTGCAGACCCTGCCCCCACTCCACCACTTCCTGCCCCCTCCCCTGAGCCTGCCACACCCTCGCTCCCCTTCTCCCCCCCCCCCCAGCCTCCTGCATGCCACAAAACAGCTGATCAGGAGGTGCGGGGAGAGAGGGGGAGGCATTGATCGGCGGTGGGTGGGAGGCGCTGGGAGCGGGAGCGGAGCTGATGGGGGGCTGCTCACCATAGGCACCAACTTCGTGGGTGGTCCGGGGCTGGAGCACCTACGGGGAAAAATTAATGGGTGCTCTGCAGCCACTGGCAGCCAAGCTCCCCTCCCCACCCCCGCTCCTCCCCTGAGCGCGCCGCATCCCTGCTTCCCCTCCCAGCGTTTGCCGCAGCAAAACAGCCCTTTCGCGGCCTAACAAGCTCCAGGAGGGAGGGGGGAGGAGCGGGAACGCAGCGCGCTCAGGGGAGGAGTCGGGGCCAGGGTGGGGATTTGGGGAAGGGGTTGGAAGGGGGCGGGAGGGGCAGAGGGAGGTCGAGCACCCACTGGCACCAGCAGAAGTCGGCGCCTATGCTGCTGACGTGTTACCGTGGCTCTTTGGCAATGTACATTGGTAAATTCTGGCTCCTTCTCGGGCTCAGGTTGGCCGCCCCTGCAGTAGATAGCACGCACCTCCACACAGTGAGGTCCGCAGTGTGGCCCAGCGATGCGGTAGCAGACTGGGAGTCAGGCGCCCTGGGTTCTATATTCCTGACACTGACCTCCCTGCTCGGTGCCTCAGTTTCCCCTGCCACCCTTTCTCTCTTCGTTTGAACCTGTCAGCTCCTCAGTGCAGGGATGTGCTCTCACTGCAGTGCTGGGCCTAACCAGCCCTGAACTCAGCTGGGGCCTCTAGACGCCACCGGAATACCACCACACTTGCTAACAAAGCAGCCCCGATAGGAGACGTTTCAAAGGGCTTTAATGTACAGTGCTCCACACACCGCTCCAGTTACATACCCGCCCCACCGGAGACTGTGCAGCCGAATCTTCAATATCCCAGAAAACGAGACACCGCTGGAAAGCGCCCAGAGACAGGACTCTGCGTAGCAGGGAGGGTGAATCAGTACGGGAGGCTCCTCTGGAGTCCAGTAGTGACTGGCTGCCCCAGTGCAGAATAACCACTCCCCTGGGGAGGCGCATATCCCAGGAGCCGTCTCCCCCCACACCCACACTCTGCTAGAGGAAAGGAACGGAAACGGAGTGAGAGACTGAGTGCCGCGCCCCGGCCAAGGCCAGCAAAGTCTGACGCAGCTGCAGAGACCAGGGACGGGCAGGTTCTCGTTCCCCAGGCAAGTGGTTATTCAACAGCTCATTGGCCAAGAATCCTAAAGCACTCTGAGGTCTTTGGTTGTAGGATGCTGCTGTCCCGGGAGGAGCTCTCCAGCTCGCTCCCCCAGGCACGCTCAGCTAGCCCGCAACGGCGCCATTAGAGCTACTAGCGCAGGAGTCCAGTGAAGAGAGTATCTCACTGGGATCCTAGACCCACTGCCCCCTTCCCTGCGCAGACCAACAGCGCTCCGGCCTGGCGTGGGTGACCCAGACGGTGTTCAAAGCCAGGCCTGGAGGGCTCCATCTGCAGGATGTCCTCCTCCCCGGACGCATGGGGTAGTGAGTGGGGGTGAGTGAAGGGGGAAGAGAGGCCTGGTCGATTGGCCTAGAGCACCTGAGTTACCAGCAGCAAACAGGGGCCCCTTGCTGAGACCCAACTGTGTGAGGCTGAGGTCGCAGGGAACGCCAGTCCCCAATCAGCCCCTTGCCTTCCACCTCAGTTTGGGGCCAGAGGCTCCCGGTGAGCAAAGCAACCTTGTCTTTGGGTCAGCGTCGGGGATCCCCAGTCGCCGGGGGAAATAGCAGCCGGTGATCTCCAGCTCAAGGTCCCTCGGCACAGAGGGAGGAGCGGGTGAGCTGGGCTGGTGAGAGCCATAGGAAGGCAGCGCCACGCCCCTCCTGGCACAAGGGAAAGCAGAGATCCTGCCTCCTAGTGGAGCCACATGCTCCTGCTCTCCGGGCAGGGTCCGTTTCCAAAGCAGAGAGGCCGATGCACCCCTTGTGGGTATTTCCCTGGGCCAGCTGTCTGCTGTGCTCCCAGGACGAGGTCCTGGACACAGTCTCCCCTTGTTCTCTGCTGGGGGTGCTGTGAGCCAGGTCCCACCCTGGACTCGGCTGGCTGGCACCTCTGGTCCAATTAGCCAGCGTTTGATAGACAGTCCAGGGCCTTGCCCGGGGTCCGTTTCAGCTGAAGAAATACGTAGATTCCTTCACCTTCTGCAGGTCAAAGTTGCCTGGAGGGGAAGAGGGAGCAGAGGGAAGGTCAGAACGGGGGCTGCACAGGTTGGAGACTGGGGGCATCTCTTAGCATTCTAGGGGAAAGGATTCACCTATGTGCTCTAGCTCAACCACAAGATACGGGCTGGATGCAGGAATCGCTGGGTGTGTTATGCAGGCACTCAGATCAGATGATCCCACTGGCCCTTGCCGCCCTAAATTCTAGGCTACACCCCGACCCCCCAAACTCAGCTCGAGCCCCCCACGCCAGGGAGGAGAGAGCAGCAAGAGACGTATTGCAGCCCCTTTGCTGCAATCAGCCCGACTCTCCCTGACCCCACCTGGGGCAGAGAGCATGCCAGGGGGCCCACACTGCTCACAGGCCCCCGCCTGGTACCCGGCCCATTGCGGGCAGACGCTTTCCCTGGGGCAGAGGGTTAGCGGGGAGGAAGAGGAGCTAGGACATGTTCGCCCCCCTCCTAGGCTGTGGTGGGTGCAACGCTGGAAGGCTTCAGTACCGGGGCAAGGATGCTTCTAGCTTTGCGTGGACCAGGCCTTGCAGAAGAACCAGCGAGGGACAGAGACTGGGTCAGGACAAGGGCTGTTTGCTTGGTGACCTCCGATTATCTCAGCCAGCTAGCTAGGTTCTGCTCTCCAGCCGGCCTGGGCTCGCGCGGCAAGTTGGATGCCGGGGTGGGAGCCAAAGGCAGCTGGCTGTGCGGGGGATTATGTCCTACCAGGGCGGAGAGGGCACTCGCACAGATGACGGCATCTCAGCCTTGGAAACCTGGGGTCTGATTGCGGCTCTCAGGGCACCCGAGAACTGCAGCAGCGTGTCTGCCCCGCACGCAATAAAAACCAGCCCTGCCTGATCGCCAAGGGCTCCCTCAACAATGGCTGATGTTAGCAGAGTCATCCCAAAAGCAAGGCTTCACCCGCCATTGAAATGCAGCCACCTCTGGGGCGGTGGGTGGCAGCTGTGTAACAGTGAGCGGCAATGCTACTTTCTCCCACCTTCTCCTGTGGAGAAAATGTAGACAGATGCATGCGACCCATATGAGACGCCCGCCTGGAGATTAAGGGAACTAAACAAATTGTCTTACTCCCGCTGCATGCGTATCAGCCGCATCTCAGCAATCGCTATCCCATGCGTCTAACTTCTATCCCTGGTACGACGTCTCGTTAGTGGGAAAAGACTGGCATATCCGAATGTTTGGAGCAGAGCAACAAGACGTATTAGCGCACTGGGGAGACTGGCTTCCAGGGGGAGAAGAAACGAGCTAAATTCTGCCTAAGGTGGGCGCTGTGGAGGGGAAATGGAGTTCCCATTTCAGAACGGCAACACAAGCCCAGAGATGAAGTGACTTGCCCATGGTCACACAGGGAGTGTGTGGTGGAACTAAGCCAAATCTTCTGAGACGCAGCCCAGCTCCTCAACCGCAGCGCCAGCCTTCCTGCCCGTGCCCCTGTCTATGAGGAGCAAAGCCCCACGGCGGAGTTCCAGGGAGGCAGGGTGCAGTGCTGAACTGCAACTCGGCTAGATCGCCTGCGCTAACTGTCCCAGCAAGACACTGCCGAGCTCGGGGTTCTCCCAGCCAGCCGTGCGTCCACTCCAGCCTCGGAACGGGGACCAGGAGGAGATTCTGCTGGGGTGGGGGCTGGCAGCCAGACACAGGGAAGATAGTGATGCTCATCCAGCCTTCCTGGCAGCGCGAGACGGATCCCTGGGGATCAAGCGAGCTCCCCAGTAGGGTCTGGCAGGCTAAGGTGCGTCTACACTACCAGCGCTACAGAGGCACCGCTGCAGCCCTGCCGCTGTTCTACAGACACTTGCTACAACGACAGAAAGGGTTACCCTGCCCCGAGAGGCAGTAGCTAGTTGACGGAAGAATCCTTCTATTGACCTAGCTGTGTCTACACCGGGGCTTAGCTACATCTCTCCAGCTCCGTAGCTAGGTCAACCTACATCTTAGGCGTAGACCAAGCCTCTGTCTCTTTCACCCCCCCGAGCACAACGCCATGCTCTGCGTCGTAGGTTCCTCGGTCATCAGAAACATGGCTACTGCCGGGGAAGGGCTGGGGGCCGGCTCATTCCAATCACTCATGTCAGAGGGCTCACGCCTGGGAGCCGCCCCTAGGACCCAGCTCCAGAGGCAAGTGTGTGTCCAGTGCCTAGCATTCGTGGGTGGCCCAGAGGCACTACCGTAACAACCACAATGGATAATAACAGTACCTGTCTCAGGGACCCTGGACAGCAGCTCCACCAGCGTCTGGGGTTCGAGGGACTTCTCATCCCTCCACTCAGCCCTGGGTCAAAAAAAGCCACGACAAAAAGGGGTGTTAAACAGGAACGTGAACCCTTCCTGCGCCCAGCCTGACTCTCACACATCTCCTGTGCAGCTTGTGGGCACATGGCTCTGAGCCAAGGGGGCGGTGACAGGTCCCCGGTGTCAAAGGAACCAACAGATCAGCTTCGAGATAAGACTCTCCCTATGTGACCGCTTGGGCATCTAAGTATCTTCCTGCGGCCCATGTTATCTCAGTATTGCTCTCTGGTGCCTAGCCGCCCCCATCTGGCCAGAGTATCGGAGCACCTGCCAACCTTCACAGAATTTCTGCACACAGAGCCCCTCTGAGGCAGGGCAGTGATCTCACCCTCCTTTGCAGATGGGGAGCTGAGGCCCAGAGAGACTTGCCCAAGGTCACACGGGGAGTCTGTGACAGAGCAGGGGATTGAACCCAGGCTTGCCGTAGCCTAGCTCACTAACCACTGGGCCATCCTTGTCCTAGAGCGGCCCAGTGGCAGCCGGAAGAAGGATACTGCGGATAGGCTCCAAGCCGGAGGCTGTGGAACTTACACAGCGCAGTCAACAAAGGAAGTTCCCCTGAAGGAGCCCCAGAGAGGGCGGGCGGGTGAGCTGGGTACTTACAGAGAGTCAGTGCAATATTTCTGCAGCATGAACCTGGACAGATCCTGCAGGATGGGCTGGCTGTGCAACTCCACAAACTGCTCTCGACACACCTGGCAGTGCACGGAGGTCACAAGTGAGTGGAATACAATAGCATGCACCCCTCTCACCCCAAGACAAATTCCATTTAGAGCTATTCTCACCGGGCTGAAGGTGGGGTGCGTCTGCAGAGCATGGAGCACAGCGAGGGGCTGTAGGTCGAGGGGTGTCAGCGGAGCTGGAGGGGGATGGGAATGGAGGGAAGCCCAGGGCTAACACCCCAGGAAGGGCCGTGCATTACGAGCGAGGGGCAATGGCAGAGCTACGTGCCTGGGGAGCCCAGGGCTGGGATAGCAGGGGGCTGCGGGTTGGGACACATGAACAGCAGGTGCCATCTTGGCACACTGTATTTTGCAGGGTGCATCGCCTTGGTTACCGACAGCCAATCAGACTACAGGGTGGGGAGGGAAAGGAGACCCACGTAATTGGGGCAGGGGGAGGAGACGCTTTCCAGAGCCAGGTACAGGGGCCGGACAGCACCTGTCGAGCCCCCTCGAGGAGGACGCGTTGGGTCAGTGAAAGAGGCTCTGCTCACGCGGGGGTGGAGCCGGTCTCTACCTGGTTCATGACATCCACAGTCAGCGCGTGGGTCCAGTAGCAGTCATGGACCGAGACGAACGTCAGGCCCCGTCTGAAAGGCAGCAGAGCAGCCGGGTCAGGTGGTGCCCGCAGAGACCCTCCCTCTTCTCTGATGTCAGCCCAGGCCCTGTCTCAGGCAGCCAAACCCTCCTGATGGCGCCAGCACAGGGGCCTGCGTGAGCTGAAAGGGGGCTGCCATCCCTTGTGGCACTGCCTAGTGCCCTGGGTACGGTGCCTCCCTGATCGCAGGCCCGTGGGGGGAGGGGCTGCCAGCTGTAGGAGCAGGGCTGGACCCGGCAAGGGCAGCTCAACCCTGCGGATTTGCCTCCACCAATGCTAGAGTAGCCCCAAGGATGACCCGAGGTGGCCCTACCTGTGGCAGTGCAGTGCCGTCAGCATCATGTGCGTGGAGTCCAGCGAGTGGATGAAGTTGGGCGGGAAGGCGTTTTTCTGCTTCACCGTATCCGGTTTCCTGCAGCGGAGCACAGACCAGTCAGTCAGACAGCCCGGCTGCCCGCCACGGCCAGAGCCGGGGGAAGGGAAGAGCAGGGTGGCAGAGCGCCCAGGACCTGCTGTCAGGGTAATGCCCCCAACCAGAGCTGCACGATCGGAGGGAACTGGATCCAGTGGGCAGAGCACAGGTGGGGATGGAGCCTGGGCTGCATTCCCTGGGGTGACGGGAGCTCTAGGAGCTGCCCCCCCCCCCGTCCATGGACACAAGGGAGCAGGTGGCAGATGCTGCCCTCTCCAGGAATCCCACGCCGGGTGCTACGGCCCTGCACCTCCAGCGCTGTCCACGGACGCTGCTGGATTCCCTCCGGCCCTTCCTCCCCTGCCACCCCCTACGCCTACTGGGCAGCATGAGGTAAGGAACGTAGGAGCGTGCGAATACCAGCAGCAGCCCTGACCAGTGCCTGTGTCTCCTGCTGCAGGCTCATCTGCCAAGCTCTGCTGATGGGAGGGTTTTGTCTCCAAACCACCTGGAGGCGAGGGCTCCCCCAGTTCCAGGCTGCACCGGGGCGGGCGGGGGAATCACTCAGGCTGAGGGGAAAGGAACGCAGAGTCTGCGCCGAGCTCTCGCAGTCTGGTACTTACTGGCTGGCGTCAAATCGCATGTTCAGACTCAGGGTTTGCATGGTGCTGTTCAGCTAGAGAGAGAGAGAGACAGAGACCGGACTCAGCTGCAGAGAGACACAATCGCCCGTTCCCAGGGAGTCCCAGGCATGCCACTCTTGGAGAGCGGCTCACGCGAGCAATAGGCCCCCAGCATGCGCCGTGCACAGCCTAGGATCAGGACTGGCCCGGCCACCTCCCAGGGCAGGGAGCCCCTGGCCAGATTAGAACAGCCTACTTCAGATCTTTGAAAGCAGACAGGAGCTTTCATCCTGCTGGCCAGCATGTCCCCCAGGAGGCGCCCAGCGGCTAGACTCACCGGCTCCCAGGCTCCCTAGCTTTAAAGGCCTTTATCTCACGAGCAGATCTGGGAAATGCAGCTGAACAAATCAGTGGCTTGGAGACAGGCAGGCCACCCTGAACTGCCCCATAACTGCTGGGACGTGCCGTGCCAGTGGCTAGGAGACGGGGCAGGTTCTGCGTGCAGGTGGGCAAGCAGGAATCTGTTTCCCTGCTGATATGCCGGAAAATTGCCCCCGTCGGCACCACGTGGGGGTCTCGTCATTGAGCCTTTGGGGAGCCCGGTTACTCACCAGCTCCACTACTCTTAAATACCATCCTGACTTCGTCCCGCTGACTCACCCTTCAGCCCCCCAAGGATGCTGGCTCCGCCGTGGGCCCCACCCCAGAGCTGACTCATGCCCGCATGTCAGTGCTCATACAAGCCCCCTCTGGTCTCTTCCTCTCAGGGATAAACTCCTCCCACCTCCAAGAATCTCAGCTGCTGAATTAGTCAGGTGGAGTGGGAGGGAGAGGGCTGCTGAGAGGACTAGACTGGGGTGGGGGGAAAGGAAGGGGATCAGCGAGGATGAGTGTGGGACTGGAGCGAGTGTGAGTCACGTGAACCCTGAGGAACCACTTCTCATTTCTCATCCTGTTTCCCTGCCTCGTGCTGGGCTCACCTCCCGGAGTCTGAAAGGTTCATTACCCCGGTGAGTCAGTGGGGATGGGGGAAAGAGCGCGGCCTGACACCATACCCATCCCTCACAAACCCTCCCCGCCCAGACCCACCCACGGGAGACTTCACTGTACTATGGGCATGTATAACACAACTAGATTCGGCACCCCCGCCGGCTGGAATCTTCACAGCACGGTGTACACTACCCACACATACAGAGCAAGGTTCGACACACATGCACTGGCTGGAGACTTCCCAGCACGCTACCCACACATACAGAGCAAGGTTCGACACACATACACCAGCTGGAGACTTCCCAGCACACTACCCACACATACACAGCAAGGTTCG